CTCTCTCTCTCTTTCTCTTTCTCTCTCTCTCTCTCTCTCTCTCTCTCTCTCTCTGAATAACCCCTCCCTTAAATGGCGTTAAAGCAATCTCTTATACTATATGAAGGCTCTATATCACCGATTCACTATGTGGATTTTCTACTCGCCAAATTTCTTATGAGTTGAGTTCGTGTAAACTAATAAATACAGCCATCGTTAATGATAGCATTATCGCACCTGTCATTTCACGTTGACCCACCCGTTGAACTCTTGTCTACCTGCTATCCCGCGACCCCGACTCGGTCACGTAGCCCCAAACTGCTGACTATTCTTATCAAACATCTTCTGCGTTTACGGCTAAAAAATTAGCTGCAATGATCTGCTTATAGAGTGTGCGTCTGCGCGCGTCTCCTATGCTTTCTTTAAACGCACTTGGCCGCGTGTGCATGTGTGCATGTGATCCCATCTCGTCGTCTCTCGGGGTATTCCTTACGGTTAGTAATGCGAGGTGTGGGTCGGTTCGTGCTGCTAATTGGCACTTCTTCAGCATTTGCTGTGCAGTTCCCACTGCCTTCTCGACCAGTCCATTTGTCTGTGAATGTGTGGGTGATATCGTTTTATGGACAAATCCATACGTATCCGCAAACTGTCTCCATTCTCCACCATTCCATGGAGGTCCGTTGTCACTTGTAACCCGAGCTGGTATTCCATGGGTGCTGAACCACTTCTTCGTCTGCTTGATTACAGCTGATCCATCTGTTGTCATCATTCTCTCCATCTCAAAGTATTCGGAGTAGTAGTCACTGCAAATCAGCTATTTGCTCTAAAGACAGTCAAACAGATCCATTCCTACATGTTCCAATGGTCTTGTTGGTATTGGCATTGGCATTAGAGATTCCTTCTGCTGTCGGGCTCTGTGTTCTTGACACGGTCCACATCGAGAAATTGTATCTTCTATCTGTTTGTTAATCCCTGGCCAGTAAAGGAGGTCTCTTGCCAACTGTTTGGTCTTTACCATTCCTTGATGGGCAGCATGTAACATCTCGATGGCTGTTGTCCTCATTGTCTGTGGTATCACGATTCTTGTTCCTTTGAAAGCTACTCCATCCACAATGTTCATTTCATCTCGAAAGTCATAATACGCTGCGATTCTCGGATCAAGTTTTCTCTTGTTCTCGGGCCATCCTGACGACGATTTCACAATGTGGCTAAGTAATTTCAGCTCAGAATCTTGTGCAGTTTCTCTTCTGATCTGTTCCATCCTTGGAGAGCTTGTCTGTTGTACGCTATTTAATTCTTCCAATCTTGTTAGAAAAATGTCTTCTCCAGTAAGGATTGGACCTGGTTCGTTGACGTGCGCACGGCTCAGTGCATCTGCAACTGGAATTTCTGTTCCCTTCTTGTGCACTAAGGTAAAGTCGTATCCTTGTAGTCTCATCCTCATCTTCTGTAAACGGAGTGGAACTTGATGTAATGGCTTCTGGAAGATTCTGATCAGGGGCAAATGGTCTGTCTCGACAGTGACATCTGTCCGTCCGTACACGTATGTGTGGAATTTCTTGAATGCAAACACAATTACCAACAATTCCTTCTCAATCTGTGCATACGCGTATTCAGCGGTTGTCAATGCCTTAGACCTATATGCCACTGGTCGCTGATCTTGCAACAGGACACATCCTATTCCGGATTGACTGGCGTCTCCTGGTGCGGATGTGATGCCCATTGGCAATCTTCTGTACCGAAATCTACCGAAGGATGTGTTGAAGACTGTGTAGTCATTGGAGCGTTCGTCTAGCTGTAGCTGGAAATATCCTTGATTCGCATCTAACACTGTAAAGTATCTGGCTTTACCACATCTACCCGGAGCCAACGAGGTATGGCCGACGTGGTTGTGCCTAAATCGCTTCAGGAGAGGTTTTGGTCGATGTAGGGCACTCATGCAGAAATGGGGATACACTGAAGATGGGCCAATCGAATGCGACTGCGGGGAGGACCAGACTATGGGACATCTCCTGAAATGCCCCTTATTGCCAGAGCCCTGTAGCCCTGGAGACCTTGAGGCTTTCAACCACCGTGCCAAGTCTTGTGTGCTGCAGTGGCTGGGCCGAGTGTAGTGTAGTGACCCGAGAAGAAGAAGAAGAAGATTATGACGCAGGTGATGGGTGGGTCATGGTGAAATTAGGCACTTCCGGCTGCGACCGCGACACAGATGGCGTCGATCACGGTCTGTGTGCAGACATTCCAGTACACGATGGTCCGTGGAAAGAATGAGTTCTTGAATTCCTCTGTTGAGGTTCAAATGACTGCGAGTTTGTTGTCGTTTTTGCTCCTTGCGCGCGTTGGACAGATCCTGATGTACAGGACTTTGGGGATTGCGGTACTTCCAGATCGTACTTACATCGCGGTAATCGCACTGCGGTTTTGATGTATTTTGTGAAAGAGACTGTGCTGTTTCTTGATCGCTTTCTTGATTGCTACATTCACCCATGGTAGCTTATTGTTCCTTTTTTATCACTTTATGTAGGACGAAATTCTGGATTATGCTAAGCATACCGTCCTTGAATTTGGTCCAGTTTCCATTGCCCGAACGTTGGTGGAACAGGTAGGGCTCGAGAAACGCCTGTTGCAGTTTTCCCGCTTCTGCTCTGACTTTTCCCAGTCTGCCTTGATGTACCGTGGTACTGATCGTCGCTTGGTTTTCACGTACAAGGGTTTTATGTTGCAGTCGGTGATAACTATGTGGTGGTCTTCGACCCATGGTGCAGTTTGGACTTTTCTTACAAGTAACGGGTTATTTGTAAATAAAAGAGCAAGATTACTTTATTTCTCTCGTTGGTTCAAACTGTAGTTGTGAGAGCGAGTGCTGGTCTTAGATATCAAGTAATTTCTGGCATACTCTGCGCTTGCGACCACCAGATTCTACAGAGTTTGTATGCCAGTCGCCAGTGTTGAAATCACCGCCTAGGTGAATAGTTTTAACCTGGCATCTGGCAGTTTGTTTAGAGAGATGTTCAGTTCTTCCAGCTGGTCGTCGTTTTCATCTGGTGGCCTGTAGAAGCTGCCTATGACAAGGGACTTAGCTCTTTCAAGAGTTACTTTGACGCAAATGACTTCGGCGTCTGAATCGGCTTCTGTAAGCTGTTCACTCACAAAGCAGGACTTAATTGCGATAAAGACACCGCCTCCGTGGAGTGTTCTGACTTTTCTGTATACCATATAAACTGGGGAGAACGTTTCCGCCACGTAAATTGTGCTGTAGAGTTTTGATTCACAACCAAAGATAGCATCTGGTTTGATGTAATCAACTGCGACAGCAAACTGGGCTTTTTTGCTTTTAATAGCCTCAAATTAACTACCATAGTTCACCAGTTGTTGCTATTTTTACCAAGGGTATTTCTAGAGGGGTGATCATCATTAGATTTACTATTATATCGGTCTCTCGATCTAGGTGTACCAATGGGACTGGAGGGTTGCTCAGATCGTGGCGAACTAGACAAGATTGGGTTGAAACTAAGATCTGCTGAAGCCACAGAAATGTTTGCATCGGTAGCAGATTCAAAGAACACTGAAGCGGTTATGTAGGTCAAGTTCATAATATTGAAATGTAAATGATGCGACATTTTCGTTGTCGCACTTGGCACAAATCCAAGAAACGCCCGATTTCTCCAAGCTACGTATGTGGGATGAGCAGTAACTTAAGCACGTGTTGTGGTACCAAATATCACAATCATCACAGCACTCCTTGTCCTTCGTTCATTTTGTCTATCTCACAATATCTGACAACTTCTGAAGTGGTCTGGAAATTCTCCCTGACCTAGTGCCAACTGAAGGCTTTTGAGCTGACTCACATTTTGACTCACTGTTCGGCCTACAATTACCATGTTGTGCTGGTTGAGGTTGAGCTATAGGTGAGTTGGACAGGTTAGGAGTGGGGATTTGGAGTGGAGTTCTGTCAACAATGGGCTGTGCCATATTGCAAACTCGATCATCTCGAGGTTTATCACCTCAATCTCGGAGCGGTGTGTAGTGTTCCTTGGTCCTCAAGAGATCACGTCGATTTCTCCTAGTGACCCTTCCACTCGGCAGCCTTATCCTGTATGATCTGGGTGGTATATCCGTTTGATCTGGAAAAAGCTCTGCTAATTTCCACGTCTCTTTGCTTCTCACTCGAATTGTGTGATATGGCTTCAGTGGTTCCAACTTTTTTACGTGTCTGTCATAATATTTCTTAGCTCTTCCATGTCTGGTATCCTTCAGGTTCCTGCTCACATCTTGTGGTTTCTTCACCTGCGGGGTCAGTTTGCATGTTGCGGTAGGAATGCGTGTTGCAGTACGTCTCGCAAACAGTCTCTGAACTGGTGATCCCATCTCGTCGTCTCTCGGGGTATTCTTTACGGTTAGTAATGCGAGATATGGGTAGGTTCGTGCTGCTTGGCACTTCTTCAGCATTTGCTGTGCAGTTCCCACTGCCTTCTCGACCAGTCCATTTGTCTGTGAATGTGTGGGTGATATCGTTTTATGGACAAATCCATACGTATCTCGCAAACTGTCCCCCATTCTCCCCCAGTTCCATGGAGGCTCCGTTGTCACTTGTAAACGCAGCTGGTCTTCCATGGGTGCTGAAGGCCACTTCTTCGATCTGCTGATTGACAGCTGACCATCTGTTTGTGCCATCATTCTCTCCATCTCAAAAGTATTCGGCAGTAGTAGTCAGCTGCAATCAAGCTATTTGCTCTGAAGACAGTCAAACCGATCCATTTCCTACATATTCCAATGTCTTTTGGTATTGCATTGTCATTAAAATTCCTTCTGCTGTCGGCTCTGTGTTCTTGACCACGGTCCACACTCGAGAAATTGTATCTTTATCTGTTTGTTAATCCCTGGCCAGTAAAGGAAGTCTCTTGCCCACTGTTTGGTCTTTATCATTCCTGATGGCACTCATGTTGAACATCTCGATGGCGTTGTCTCCATTGTCTGTGTATCACGATCTTGTTTGCCTTAAAGCTACTCATCCACGATGTTATTTCAATCTTTGAAAGTCATGATATGCTGCGTTCTCGCGGGATCAAGATTTATACTCTTGTTCCGGGCCATCCTGACGGCGATTTCACAATGTGGCTCAGTAATTTCAGCTCAGAAAATCGTGTGCAGTTTCTCTTTCTGATCTGTTTCCATCCATGGAGAGCTTGTCTTGTTGTACGCTATTAATTCTTCCAATCTTGTTAGAAGAAATGTCTTCTCCCAGTAAGGATTGGACCTAGGTTCGTTGACGTGCGCCGACGCTCAGTGCATCTGCAACTGGAATTTCTGTTCCTTCTTGTGCACTAAGGTAAAGTGTATCTGTAGTCTCATTCCTCATCTTCTGTAAACTGGAGGTGGAAGCTGATGTAAAGGGCTTCTGAAAGATTTGAATCAGGGGCAGAATGGTCTGTCTTGACAGTGCATCTGTACGCCGTACACACTCCCAGACGCCCCCGTATGTGTGGGAATTTCTTGAATGCAAACAGCAATTACCAACAACTTCCTTCTCAAATCTCCTGTGCATACGGTATTCGCCGGTTGTCAATGGCTTGGACCATGATCCACTGATCCCGTGACTTGCAACAGGATCAGATCCTATTCCCGCGAATTGACTGGCGTCTCCTGGCTGCGGATATGAAATGCCATTGCAATTTCCTGTAACCGAAATCTAACCGAAGGGTGTTGTTGAAGACTGTGTAGTCATTGGAGCGTTCGTGCTAGCTGTAGCATGGAAATATCCTTGGAGTTCGCATCTGAACACTGTAAAGTATTTGGCTTAGCCCACATCTCTGTGGCGACTTCGTCTATCTGTATGGTTGGGTGAAACTCTCTGTAGCGTAGTTTAAGTCGTTGGGGTGCAATCGTTAGTCTTACTGTACCATCCATGTCTTGGACGTACATGTAGATTGCACTACACGCGATGGTGATGGTCGTGCCTCCTGGACTCGTCTCTCAATAATCTCATCGTCAACGGAGTTGCTGCAGTTTTGCTTGAATCAGCTGCACCGAGGGGCTATGGGGACAGGGCGATGGTTTGTGCAACAGGGGTTTGCATCTGAACTCAAGCTTTAAAACATCAAGCCCTCACCGGCACTTCCTATCCCTGAAACACATCGAAAATCATCGAATGATATCTACAAGCACTCTGTGACAACCCCACTACGATCTTGGTAGCTCAACAGCTTGTTTAGCTAGTTTTGCTGCTGTCTCCATCTTAAAGTTAACCATGTATGATCATCCGTACTAACATTAACAAGCCACTGATGCCTCTGATCAGTGTTACACCCACACATGCACAAAGTACGTCTGCTCCACTGTGCGGGTTTTCCTGTTTCATTAAATTGGACACTGAGTCTTCCGTTCTAGGCTGGTGGTCTATCACAAGTTGGCGAAGTGATTTTGGGCTGGCTACATTTGCACCTGCGTTTACCGTGGGCAGGCATACTGTTTCCTGTGAATGAGATGAACCACAGCCGACCCACTAGTTTAGACATTCCATATGCGACAACTGAACTGAATATCCCCGTGACCAGTAGACTGTCCCCCTACGTTCACTGATCCTCGACTGAAGCGTTGACCTTCCTTGACGCTGCTGCTTGATGACCATAACCCGCCGTGTGCCCTCGTCGCGACCACGAATGTTTGGCACTGCATTGACGTCTACAACTCTTCGAGTTGGCACCAAGTGCAAGTTAGTTGCTTCCACCTTTACTTCTCAAGGTTCGTAACTTTGACAGCTTTCTGATCAGCGTCCCTGCTAGTGACAGATCGTCATCCCTAATTCGCTTTACGCCTCATCACTTACTCCATTGAGATCTGTAATGCGATATGGTCCTCCCTCGCCCATGTTACCATAAGACATGACAACAATTGCTGCTAGTTCA